GGGCGTCCCATGCGCCACCAATGTTCAAGTCATGATTTCGCGAACCCTGGCCAACCGAGCCTGGCGTCCGCCGAGTGACCGTCATTGAGATTCATGTCAGGACCCTGATTGACAAGCCAGAGTCGTGTATCAATAAAAGGATCGTGTATGATTGTGCCATACTCTCCCAGTCAGTCGTAGACGTATCTCGGTGCCGTATACGCCGTGCTTAAACCTGGTCACTATTGACCGGAATCATGGGCGTGATAGGGTGATGATGCCGAGTCTGTACATACGCATGAGTCCCAGACTAGCAATACACGGCCAGAACGGCCGCATGGCCGACACCAGCATGAGTAGAGCACAACGGACAGACGGGAACTGAGAGTGCGTTCTCGCTCGGGCCGATCGAGCCGGCCACACCCCGGGCACGGGATAGCATGCACAAAAAACGCGTCGTCTCGCCTCGGCGAAGTCGGGCGAAAGCGCGCGCCGCGTCGTGCCATTCACGTGCTTTCGGAGATGTGACGATTCCCCGAACTCGGCCACAAGCTGTGTCTCTTTCGAGCCCCAGAACTTAGACGGTCGAGGAGAGGACGATATCAATTGACAACGTGCGCTGGCGCAAAGGATGGCAGGCTCGCATGCACACACGCGTCTTTCAACAGTGCGCCCCGACGCATAGCGCACAGTAGTGCGAGGTACCCAATGCGTGCCAGAGAGCCGAATAACCAAGTCGCGTGACCGTGCCTTCGCGTCGTCCAAAGAACGCGCCCCTGGCGAGCGTTGTTTCTCTCCGTCATGACAGTGTACAGCAGGGCTACTATGCCATGTCCAGGAGCTCTATATACATATCTTTTGTGATCCAAAAGTACAGCTGAGCATGAGTTGAAGTCCATGATCCCCGCTCAGCGCCCGCCAGCGTGCACCGCTCGAAGCTGAACAGCCTCGCGCGCCTCTTCTTCTGCACGCCACCCTCACCAGATATACCGACCTCCCCTTTCCCTGCATGAAGACACGCTGTCTATACGATCTCGAAGTTCATTCGACCTACGACTGGCTCTCGACTCGCACTTCCCTGCATCTAACGAGCTCTCCGCTAGGCGCCTGCCTTGAGGCTGTTGGCAGTGTTCCGTGCTGCACGCGAACGCGAGGACGACTTCTACCCGGAGGCAATGTGCTTCTTTGACGGGTTCTCGTATGCGATGAACGCGCACTTTGTGACCGTTGTGGAGGTGGCCGCTTGGCGACTTGAGCGAAGGATACTGTACGAAGGATGGAATCATAGGTGTGTAAATCCCGGATGTCAGTACTTCAGTATTTAAGCTGAGGAGCGGGACGGCGCATCAAGTTCAGCGAGTTAGACGGCACCCCCGAATTCCGTTATCGATGTCCGATGAAGGCTCTTGCACAGCCAACGCGAAGTACAGCCGTATTGAAATTAATGGCATCGCGCTCTATATCCTCGTTATGAAGTGAAGCTCTCACGGGGCTTTAGAGTGCTATGTACAGCCAACACGATGGATACACGACGTGTGGTGGCGCTTTTTGGCTATGAACGCGCTATAAAGTGAGAGGCCCTGGTACCTGGATAACGCTCACGCCGAACCCATGCCCTGTCACCGGATCCCCCACCAAGTGCTCGCGGGTGCTCTTCATCCTTATAAGCTGCCTCCTCTTCCCAGTCTGTCTAAAGACTTCGTCGCGCATGGGCCACACGGGCGGCCTGAATCGCTCAATGGGCTCTTGCCATCACCACCGCCCCATGTGCTACCATCGACTGACACCGGGCCGCAGCGGGAGGCTCCCGAGGCGACAGAAGCGGGCCCGCGCAACCATTCCACGGGTCATTCTGAGTACCGGCGGTCAGCAGGTGTATATCTGTCCAAGGGGTCACTCTTCGGTAAGGGAGGAGGTCGAGATAGAGAGACCGATCGGCGTGAAGAGCAAGGTGACGGAAGAGCTGATGGCGACGGCGGCGATGGCGGTAACAGTGCTGGGGGTGGTGAAGGCAGTGGCTTGCGTAGGCCGCCGAGAGGCAGAGTAGAGCGGTTGTCACCCGAGCCCGTAATTAGGATTTTTAACAGGTATGTTCTAATGAATTAGCTAGCTTTGGGCGTATGAAAACTATATCGTTTAGTTCTATGGACGAAAGGGAGTCGGTGCCAATGTTTGGAGCGCATAGGAAACCCTCCGACTCCCGAGTCCGTGTTACACGTTATGGCTCGTGTCTGCCGGCTACTTCCCTGGTCCATGAAATGCCCAGGGGTAACACTGGTAAGTAACCTCAGAGCCCTCGTCTCGGTTGCTTAATTATCGGCTTGGGACAGAAGGATATGTCATCAAGATCGCTATTCATCCTCGAGCGAAAAAAGAGGCACTTGACAAGCTTGCTAGCTATATACGTCGGGCAGGGGGCACGCAGGTGGTGCCTCTCTCGGGATCATGCCTGGTGTGTTAGAGTCCAACTCGTCCTTGCATTCACCTTTACTGATGATTGGACGTGTCAGGGCTTTACTGCACAGCTGACAAAACCGGAGATGGAACGTCTTTACGCTATGTGTCCTCGCCCGTTGGGATTGGCCATTACGCCCGTCGTTAAGAATTATTGTTATTACTCCTCTTTCTCTATATAATTTCATTGACCACGGAGAGCTCTATCTCCCAAGCGGACTTCGGAATAGGATAGGGTAGATGTTCAACTCCATGTTCGCAGCCATGCAGCCCGCTGACCCCAGCCTGCTGAATATGCCTGGAAGTCTGGCGGGAGCTGAGCAGAGGTATACGGCGGGTGTCACGATACCGCGCCCGTACTTTGGTCAAGAACTCTTCGATGCGTCGATCAGTTGTATTCGCACGGGCAAGGATGAGATCGAACGTCGGCTCGGGCTCGGGACGAGTCCAGACAGCCCTGTGCAGCGTGAGTACATCGTTCAACTTCTGGCGCTATCATCGTATCGATGCCTTGCAGAGTTTGCTGTCAAGATTACGAAGCAGGTCGCGGCGAGACAGGAGACACTTGATAAGCTCGACAGCTTTCTATCACGCGTACAAGCTCGGAAGATCTCCACCCTCCCAAGTTCAGAGCTGGTGCGTCGACCACCTGCGTTTGCCACATGTCAGCGCGCTGAAGCTGACGATGACCTTCGTCGCAGGGATATCTCGTCGAAATGTCGCGAGCGCAGAAAGAGCGGCTCGCCGGACTGTGCCCGCGAACCCTCGGGGTGGTCATCACGCCTCAGCCTGATAGCGCGATCGGCCGCACATGAGCGTCGTGGCCTGGAGTCATGCGTGATGTATACCATCTTGTGCGTGTAGAGCATGCAACTGCATTGCCGAATACCTGTCGACTCCGTCGGAGATATTTCATTAGAGGTTTTGATCACCCGTTTTCTCGCGCGCACTGCGGAAAGGCTCAAAGACACGTGGTGTTGTAATCTGAAGATCTGAGGCATGGTGCGTTGCTTAGTATGAGGATGCGTAGAGCATGGCTTGGGAGTACTGCGTTCTGCGACGGTCCATCGATCAGTCATTCTAGCGAAAGCGGCCAGTATGCATGTATCGCCGCTCGCCACATTGGTCTGTACATGTCCGACGGCAAACGTACTCGTAAGCCAGAACATTGTTCCCAGTTCCCACAGGTGAGGTTTGAGCGGCGCGAACGAGCAAGTCATCGAAAACTGAAACGCTCGTGGTGGTGCGAAGACAAGACGCGAAGAGCGCGACGACTCGGAGGCCGGGACTCCGCCGTGCTCGGGCCGAAAGCTCCGATAGTAACCCATTTGAGCACAGGGGTCCCAGCCATCTCGATTCCCTATTGTCAATCGCCACTCGCAGACTCAGCAAGAGCATATCTCGTACCAAAAACATCTGCAAGCGGTATTCCTGGCGTAAGAGATACCCATACGCGTACCCGGGGCCCGAACAAACAAGTCGCGTGACCGCGCCTCGGAGCCCTGGGCGATCCGGCCGATCCGCGACACGACGCGACGCGACGCGCCCTTGTTTCCTGCACCCCACCACGACTCAACGACAAGCGACGATACGATGTCCGCGTCGTCCAGCTCGGTCCTCCCGAGCAAAAGGTGCGCGCCCGTCTACGACAACTATATAGGGATAGCAGCTGATGCGTAGATGATGACGATTAGATTCGGATCGATCTACGCGTCGCTGCCGCCCGACGCGCAGCGCGCCTTGCTCGAGAAGCATTTACTGCCATTGTTGGACAAGACCCCGGACACGAGCGTCCTAGACGCCGCAAAAGCGCTCCAAACGCGCCTCCTCGGCCTGCCCCCCCTCCGCCTCTCCGAGCGCACACTCCTAACAACGCGCCTGATCCACGCGCTCGAGCGCCAGCCCACACACGCGCCGCACCTCGACGAGCTCACGGACACCCTATCCCTCTGGTGCACGGACATATTCAGCGTTGTGTTCTCGTATAAAGTTCAGTTTGCTGAGGCGCATGAGTGTATGATGGTGGTTGCGAGGGCGGTGGGCGAGGCGGGCGAGGCGTGTATGGGCGTGGGCGGGTGCCATTGTACGACGGATCGCATGCCGTTTGATGTGGTTTTTGAGGAGAGGAGGAGCGGGAGGCGGGTAAGGGATGTGCAGGTGGGCGGGATGGAGGGGTTCGAGGTTAAGGTGCTGCGATGGCTGTGGAGGGAACTGTGCGTTGGTGCGCTTAGTGCGAGTGCAGATGAGGAGGAGGGCGGGATGGGGAAGGAGAAGGCGGAGGAGTTTGTGAGGGGTGTGTTGGAGGATGTGGAGGATATGATGGGGTGGAGAGGCGTGGTGGGCGTGTTGTACGGCGGGAAGACGCGCTGGGACCGGAGCGACGAGTTTGACGAGGACGAGGTGGAGTTCGACGACGAGTCCGTGTCCTCGTCCGCCTCGCAAAGTCAAAAAGACCCCGACGAAGTCGACAATGATGAGGAGGAGGACGAAGAAGAGATCGTCTCAGACGACGGCGCCGACGGCTGGGAAGACGAACCCCGCCGCCGCTCCAACCCCCTGCACGCCCCGCACTGGCCTCCTCACTACACCCCCCACGCCTCAGCGCTCCACGCCCTCACTACCACGCACCTCGCCAAATCCTTCTCCCGCGCGCCCTGCGCAGAGCTCTACACAGCCCTAACCCACCTCTCGCCCCCCACCGCCCACACGCTCCTCCAGTCCCTCCCCAGCACAGCCCTCTCCTCCCCCGACGCCCTCGCGCCGTGCCTCACCATCCTCCTCCGCGAGCCCGCCCCCAACGCGCCAAAAATATGGGATTTACTGGAAAAAGGCCGCCACCTCCTCCGCCCGCGCGATAGCGCCGTGCTGCAGCGCGTCGCGAGCACGCTCGGCACGGTGGCGGGCGAGAAGGGGAGGGCGGGCGCGTTGGTGTTAAGGGAGCTGATTCAGAGCGCGAGGAGTATACACGGCGCGCTGTTGGGCGTGTTTCCGAGGCTGGACGAGCCGCGCGTGCGGAGGGATCTTGCGCGCGTTTTGCGTATCGAGCGGGGGGAGATTAATCGGGCGCAGGCTGTGAGGGACTGGGTGCGGGCTGCTACGCGCGGCGTTGAGACTCGCGGTCCAGGGGGAGGGGGAGGGATAGGAGGGTTGGGAGG